TTCTTCATGTTCTGCCTTTGAACGTGAGCTCAAGGATGGGAACCCTGTCTATCTTGTTTATTCTTGAGTCCCTAGTGCCTAATAGCATCTGGTATGAACAACTGGTCAAGTGATATTTGGGGAATGAATTCCAACCGGCTCTGAATTGCAGCTTGTTTGTGGGAGGAGTCTGACTCTCTCATGTGGAGTTGCTCATCACTTTCTCCCATCCCTCCTCCACCCTCATTTCTACTTTCTGACCCTCTTGGTGCGGGTCTGACCTCTGTATGCCCAACAACCAATTCTAGGTACATTTCTGCTCCATAGTTGTTGTTGTTGTTGTTTTTTAATTTAGTGAGAACATTGCTTTTACAAACATTTATATATTTGAAGTGATATTATCACCTCAAAAACAATCACTTATGTCTGTCATGTTGAACTTTTAAAAAGCGAATTCTTAGTAGTATTCACAATATTGAGAGATGGTTCACCTTGAATAGAATGAATTTCTAAAAGCTTTACTTTGATCGCCTGAATTAGATGAAAAAAAGTGAATTGTTATTGGAATTACCAGATTTTTTTTTCTATTGTTGCACCCGATTCCACGAATATAACACTGGCATTATTTCACCATGTGTGACGTTCTCTGGGTGGTGCTATCAAATAAACAGTTGCCACTTCACTCTTAGCATGTGTGCAAGAAAACTTGGAATTGACAAATGTACTAGGCATGGTTTTCCAGAAAAACACAGCCAGGCAATAGAAGATTATATATATTCATGGAAGAGATGTATTATAAGGAGTTGGCTCACATGATTATGGAGGCTGGTTAGTCCCAAATCCTCATGGCTGATGTCTCAGGCTGCCATAGAAACAGGAAGAGCTCATGTTCCATTTCAAATGCTTTCAGGCAGGGGGCATTCTCTCTTACTCGGGGCAGGGGTGGAGTGAGACGGTCAGTGTTTTGTTTTATTCGGGCCTTCAACTGATTGGACGAGGCTCACCCACATTAGGGAGAACAATCTGCTTTATTGAGTCAGCCAATCCAAATATTAGTCTCATTCAAAAACATCCTGACAGACACAGCCATGAAAATGTTTGACCAGGATTGTATTTTATTTTTTTTAAGATTTTATTTATTTATTAGATTGAGAGAGATGGAGAGAGAGAAAGAATGAGCAAGGGGAGGGGCAGAGAGAGAAGAAGATTCCCCGCTGAACAGGGAGCCCAGGATCATGACCTGAGCTGAAGGCAGATGCTTAACCAACTGAGGCACCCAGATGTCCCTGACCAGGATTTTAGACAGTGTTCTTAAAGTCACTGATGACCTTTGAGTTGGATGCTGATGCTCCCTGAGCAGATTTGTGTCTGCTTTTTATGTTGTCAGTGACATCACCATGGTTCTTAGGGCAGATGGTAAATGCTGATAACCATTTTGTGCATGTTACGGTTTTGTCATTAACTTTATTGAAAAAGAGAAAGATATTTTCATTTTCATGACTCATGCACTTTCTTTTTTTGTGGAACTCATTGCTACTGAGGGTTTATTGAAAAATAAAAAATAAAGATGCAATCGCAGTTAAATAGTTGTAGATTGATACTACATGGTAAGTGGAAAAGTTGCTGCAGCAAGGCTGATCCCATTACTGTCTATGAACCCTGGAGCAAGACTGCTGCCTTCTAGATCCTGTACATTGTGTCTGCCACTCCTACTTTCCCCACTGACCTGGAGCCTGGTGGCCTGTGGCTTCCTGCACCTTGCAGGCCATGGCACAACTGGCAACAGCAGAAACACTGAGTCTGTATCTTCCCACCATCCCAGAGGGGGAATGACTCTCCTCCATTGCTTGTGTCTGTGTACATTTCAACGTCAAGGGGGAGCTGCATGCGGTGTCCCTGAGAGGGCTGCACTGGGTTGGGAAAGGATTGGGAAGGAGAGGCAGGTCAGCCCTCATCATCTCCTAGATTTAGCCTGGTGTTTAAGTGAAAACTCACTTGCTCACTGCACACGTCACTCACACACTAAGAGATGCAATTGTGGCAGAAGCTGGAAGTACAAGCCAAGGGATACTGATCTGATCTTGGCTTCTTTTAAAGCAATTCTTAGTAGGACTCCATTAAGCAGTGACAAACTAGGCAGGACACCAGGACGACAGGGGGCAACTGGCACCGTCCATGACAAACAGAGCATTTGGTCACTTTACTTACAGGAGCTTTATCCTTGGGCTCTAAGGGATGCTTTGATCTCAGCCCAGTTTTAGAGTAGTTTCTCCATTTGGGGATTCCATGTTTGTGTGGTGTCAGCTTCCAGGGCTTGCAGGAGCATGGGAGCATAGGTGGAGACTCTGCCACAGTAGATTTGGGGTCCTCCAAGAGTTGCAGCAGAAAGCTGCTCAGTGCTCCTTCCTCAGGTGGGTGGAAGGGAGGGGTTTCCCAAGGGGATCACCCATTCTCTGGTCTTACCTTGATGTAGAAAGCCCAATTTTAGCTCCCAGTGTATGTGGGGCCTGAGGCCTCCATTCCCGTCCCCACGGAGGCCTTAAATCCACTTGTTGCTGTGGCTTCTCTCCTTGTTTCTGGTCCCTTGTGACTTCCCTGTCCCAGCCTCCTTCCCAAATGCAACTCAGCTACCCATGAAATGGGTATTTAACAAGTACTGAAACTAGAACTTCTATATGTTTGAATAGGAGCTGGGGGAGGCAGAGTGCTAAGGGTGTCCCCCTCCCTCCCAGACACCGAGGCCCCAGGCCTCCTCTGCTTGTCCTTGAGTAGATGACACCAAGTGATTGTGGACATCAGATGGATATAGGGGTGTTAGTCTCCCTTGCTAATTGGGGAGAATTTTTTTTTCTTTTTAAGAGAGAGTACACACGAGCAGGAGGGAGGGTCAGAGGAAGAGGGAGAGAGAGAATATTAAGCAGGCTCCTTGCCCAGCGTGGAGCCCAATGCAGGGCTTGAGCTCTTAATCCTGAGATCATGACCTGAGCCTAAATCAAGAGTCAAAAGCTTAACTGAGTGAGCCACCCAGGTGCCCCCAGGAGAACTTCTTGAGGGTAGAAACTTCTAGCACAGGGCTGAGCCCAGTGGAGGATTCCATTGGGAAGGCAGGGCAGGAGAGATTCCTACTTACATCACATGGTAGAGGCTACAACTCTGCTTTTGACCTTGGCAGGAGGGAGGAGTGTTTTGTATCTGAGAAGTTTGGTAAGATTCTCAATACCTCTTTGGACAGAGAAAGGAAGTTCCAGGATTTTCTTAACATTGTCATTCATTCATTCATTCATTCATTCATTCGTTCATTCATCCACTCTTCCTTCATTCCCCAAACATTTTTAACATCTACACCTAGTGTGTAGCTGAAACACTAGCTCTGACTCCAATCCTTCCAGGTTAGGGAGAAGAGCTGCCCCTGAATGGGGAGGACAACACCAATAGACCACTGCCATAGCTCAGGGTCCGAGTGGCCTGAGACTGAAAGGGTTCAAAACCTCAGGGGTCCTGTGGGTCTATCTGGACACCAACAGGACAAGGCTGGGACCCTGGATATAGATGGGATGGTTGAGCCCCCATCCATGTGGCAGAAAGGCAAGGCAAGAAGGAGCTATTAATCCTTTTATAATTGATTGACCGAGTCCAGTGTCAACCACTACTTCCAGTGTCTCCTGGACGTGAGAACAGAGCTTGCAGCCTAGCTTCTTGCCAGGCTGGCCAGAGCACCTGATTCTCTGCTGCTCCAGCCTCGAGGGTCTCCAGCGTATGGCCCCGGGCAGGAGCAGTGCCCACTTGCCCCTTCCACCTCCCTGCAAACACCCACACATACTCATACACATGCACACACACATACATACACGTCTCATCCACACAAGCTGCAGGAGTGTTTTGTAATCCTGGTCAGGCCTGGGCAGGATAGGATGGCAGCTCTCATACTTCCCTCTGGGTCACCATGGTTTCAGCCATACAGAAGATGTGGATGTAAAAAAATGTGAAATATGAATACGTTAATGGATGAGTGAATGAAGGGATGAATAATTTAGGAAAAACCTGGAACTTCCTTCCTCTGTCCAAAGAGGTATGGGAAAGCTTGCAGAACTTCTCAGATATAAAGCACACTCCCTGTGGCATCAAGGTAGGATGGGAGAGTGGGGGAGTGCTCCTGGTGAAGCCTCTTCCCAGCTGGGGGCCTCCTGTCTCCTGGACTTCTGTCAGAGGGCTCCGGGTTGGTGACATGCCCCCTCAGGGCTCCTTCTCTCTACTTGAATCCAGCTTGGCTTCCAAAAGCAGGCTGACTTTGCCTGGAAACACATGGAGCCAGGCACACTTTGGTTACAAGACTCCAAAGGCAGCAGCGGCTATGGGTATGAGATGGGTACGGTACACGGTGGCCCGTCCTGTCATCAACAAGGACATGGGGCAGATGGCAGAGGTGGGCAGAGCAGGTCGCTGGCCTGGAAAGAGGCAGTGAGTGGTAACATCCTTTCTGCCCTGATCCTGGGGGCCACACTCCCTTGTCAGTTACATGACTGCGATAAGCCAACTACTGCAAGATTTGTGCCCCTGTCGCCATGAGGCATGATGCTGTAGGGGAAAGAGCACAGAAATAAGAGTCAAGACACCTGAGTTCTAGTCCTGATTCTTTCACTGCCTTTTGTGTGACTTTGAGGTAAGTACTTGACCTCCTTGAACCTTGAACCCCTTGAAAAATGGGAATAGCCAAACTTACTTCATCTCTTTCTTAGGGGAGATGGGACCCTCCCAGGTTAGAATGTTAGCTGGAAGTCCTTCCTAGTGTCTGGTGTCACCCTCACTCTTATCCACTTAAACCCACTGGTGGTGGTTCTGTCTTTAGCGTCTAAACTCAGCCTTAGTCAACAAGTGATGTTTGCCTGCCCATAGAGCACAAATTTTGTGCTCAGCAGAGAAAGACAGCTTTCTTCCACCACGTAGGGAAAATCCATTTGGGTTGGATTTTCATGGGGTAGAAGATGGAGAAAGAAAGAAGAGAGAGGAAATCTGGTGACTCTTGTTTTGTTTCTTTTAATCGCTAGAAATCTCTGATCTACTGAGTGCTGAGCACATCTCATAATACTTTCAAAATTGTCAACGGCTTTTCATCAGAGTCTTCAGTCAATGGACACCAGGGGCTCTCTACTTCTTCTTTGCTTTTGCTTTCTTTCCTTTGTTTGCTTTGTTGAACTTAAAAGATTCATCTTGGCCTGGCTGGCCAGTGATTGCGAGTGGGGAAGGGATAGGAGCATTGAGGTTCAAAGTCTTCTTCTGAAGTTTCAGATCCAAAATATCAAAAGTTATTTGTATCTCATACTGCAGCAGCTCCTTCAGGCATTCGATCTGGATGTGAATGGCCTCACTGATGAGATTTTCTAACTCCTGGAAGAAATGGAACATGGTTGGTGCTCAGGGCTCTAGGGAAGGCTGAGGCCATCTACAGATACAGTCCCTCCACAGGATCCAATTCTGAACACATCAGCTCCTTTTTCTGTATTCTAGAACTCTCCATTTACCCCACCAGCTCTTTTGGCCACCCATCTCCACTCCACTCTGTGCTCTGAGAGACTGACTTATAAGGGCTGCCTCAGTTGGCTACCTTACCTCTGGCTTTAGGTTGAGTTCAGCCAGTGGGAGGCACTGGCAGATCTGAGGCTGGAAAGAGAATGAAGTCTCTTGCTTCCCTCCCGATCTGTTGGCCATGGCTCTAGTTCTCTACCTACATCTACACCTCCTATCCCATGGCCCTCTCCCACAGCTCTCTTTTTGGGTTCCAATGACTTTCTTTCCTTCTCCCTTCAGGCCTACGGTGGCAATAACCCTGTTTGAGGGGGTCATTTATTACTAATATTGTTCTGGGCCTATAAGTCAGTCCCATATTCCCCTACCTTCTGATCAATGCATGTTCCCTTTGGATATCATCCCTCTTTTTTACCCTCCTGCACTCATCTCATTCTTACATCTCAAAGTTCTAGTAGCAGGTTTCATCAGAAGGGACAGGATAAGTTGCTCAGAGAGTGGGCATGTCCCCCAACCAGCCAGCCATGGGAAGAATGGAAACTCAGCCACCATCTGCCATGTTAAACAGGAGACCCTATCTGTCATCTCAATCAGGACTATGGCATCATGGAATCCTTTGTTTCTCCAAATTCCCTGCTCGAGCAGCCAAACAGCAGAGGAGAATTTGTGCTTGTCTTGAGGGTGTTGGGAGACATACTTGGAGTATCTGATTGCCTAGAAGATATCTCTTTGAGATCTCATATTTTAACCTAAAAACTCATGCAAAATCTTACATTTGCCCCAGAATAACTCCTTGGTTGTTTTTATATAAAAATAATGTTCTTCCCCTAAGTCCTTGGGGAGGACTGTGCTCCAAGAGGATGCATCATGTTTATCCTATGGTGTTCAGCATCCCCAGCTCAGGCACAAAACCAGAGGCACACAGCGGAGGGGACTCTAGTCCACAAGCTCCACCAGGCAGGGACCAACAGCAAAGTAATGAGGGCTGGCAGGGGAGCTGAGAGCGGCAGGGAAGGACAGCTGTGTGGAGAATCAGGAGTGGGAGGGAAGGCAGCCCCTCGCATCTGTGGCTTCATTTACATATTCTAGAGTAAGGTCCGAAGGTCCCACAGAGCGGGTGGAGACAAGCTCTTGCTTAGGTTCTGTTGGGTCCTTCTTTGCTGGACATCTTAATGCACTAAGATTACATGGCAGCCTGATGTGCTATTTCTCTGGAAGACTTGACTTAACCTTAGAAGAGTATCATTTGTTCTGTTGTGTTAATTTCTCTTTAGAGAGGGTGCCTGGGTGGCTCAGTTGGTTAAGCGACTGCTTTCGGCTCGGGTCATGATCCTGG